ACTTCATGGAATGTTAACTGTATGTCAGTGGGGAAAAATTTATAACTAATCCATTGCTAAACCTTTCAGCTCCCAGCCCCCAAAGCTAACCCAGAGGTATACCCACCCTAAGGCTGTCTCTGAGCCCCAGTAAATCTATTCAACCTCATTTCTTCATGTCTGAAAGAAAAAGCCACCTTATTTCCAGCATCAAGCTGTGGGGTTCCTGTAGGGGACCAAGATCATGGTGGACTGATAGCTGCTAATGAATCTGTCAGATTCCTGGGATGAGACTGTAAGTCTGAGAGCCAGATCAGGAATAGCATAGAAATACAGAAACCATCAGAACCAGGACAGCCGAGGCTCACTGACCCAGAATATTTTCACGGGAAAAGCCAAAGTGAATTGTCCAATGAAATTTTACACAAGAAAACTTTGAAACTCTTCTTCACAAGATAAAAAAAGAAACACAGTAAACAGAATTCTTATTTTAAAAAAGACAAGAAAATATCTGCAATAGAAAAAGATGAAGAATGATTATTTTAACTAGGCATAACATATTGAACTCTTGCTTATGAAAACATTGATTCCCAGTGGGAAAATAGGAAAACTGTGCAAGTAGCTCACAGAAACAATAATTCATGGCCAAGAAAATTGAACATGCCACCTGGGTTTCTGTCTAGAAGCTTTCCTCTAACTTTCCCCTCAGCTGAAATCTTACTGCAGATATGAGCATCCTCATCTTATTTCATTCAGGCCTTAGCCTGAACCATAGCCACTCTATATAAACTAGAATGTGCCCACTCTACTATCTTCTGTTCACAGCATTATTTAACCCACAGGATTTTTAAACGCCTGACCGGTGTTTGTTTATAGACTGCCATCTGTTTTCCAGGACTATAACACAAACTCTGTAAGTTTAGGGACCCTGACTGTTTTAGTTGTTACTGTCACCAGTGCTTACAAGAGGTAGGCCTTGCATATTATAAATACTCAGAAAGATTTTGAAGGGATGAAGCATTGGCTCAGTGGTTAAGATCACTTGCTGCTCTTGAAGAGGACTCACGTTTAGTTCCCAGCACACATGTAGGGCAGCTAACAACCATATGTAACTTCAGTTCCAGGGAATCTGATGCTCTTTTCTGACCTCCAATAGCACTGCACTCCTATGCACATACCCACACGGAGACACACGCAAATACACAAAGATAAAGAAATTTAAGTTGATTAGTGAATGAAACTAACCTAAATAGTAAAGAAAGCATCATTAAAATAGCAACATAAAATATTCCCTACCAGGTTGGCCATTTTGGAAAAATTCAGCATATTTTGGGTTCATAGAAGAAAGAACAACTACATCCTCCTGGTTGTTGCTGAATTTCCTTTTAAAAAGATGACATGAACAAAAACCATACACAACAATACAAGAGAACAATGCATTCTGATACAACATGAAAGCTATAAACAGGGGTGTAACTAAGGGTGTGGCAGCAAAAACTTAGAAGGAAAGTAAATGTATACCAGTAAGAAAATAGTTACGTTATCACAACCATGTTATTATGTGTCATGAAGCTATTCAATGTGGAAATCTCTATTAATATAGGGGTTTCACAAAGAGAAATAAAGTATCAAAAATATACACAACAATTTTGTTATTGAAAGTGTTATATGCTTATATAAAATGTGTCTGAATTCCACAAGGAAATCCCCAAAAGAAACAGAACCGTTTTTTTTTTAATTTAAAAAATATTGAATTTTTGTGTATTTTATACAGAACATCTCAATCAATCTTAATCCATCAATCTGAAGTCCAGCCTTGGCAGACAAAAGAAAAATTAGGAGGAACCCAATAGAGGAATGATTTTGGAAGCTCTCATCAAGAAATTCCAATGGATTCTAATATGAACATCTGAAATTTGCCCTGTTCTGACTTTTTTTCTGGTTCCCCCTGTCTAGAACTTGCAATGCTAACTATTCTTGCCTTTACTTCTCCTTCACATTTCCTATTCACCAGTCAGGTACTTTCTTTTCTCCCTAAATATAAGACTTACACAATTTGGGAGTCTTTTAGATAGACCCACTGAATGGGTACCCTAATTGCCTCACCCTGCATCCCCGTTCGGCATGGAAGAAGCCAGAGTGGTCTGTGTCCCCATTCCCTATAGGCAAACTGGGTAACCTCTTCATTAGATGGTATGTAAGGATAGGAGGTAGGGGGCTGGAAAGATAGCTCAGTGGTTAAGAGCACTGACTTCTCCTGCAGAGGACCTGGGTTCAATTCCCAGCGCCCACATAGGGGCTAGGAAGCATCCTTAACTCCAGTTCCAGGGGAATCTGAAGCCCTCTTCTAACCTCCACAGCATTGCATGACACAGGTACTCTCACATACATATAGGCAATACACTGATACACATAAAATAAAATTAAAAAATTTTAAGAAAAAGAATAGGAGGTAGGAATTGGCTAGGCAATTAGGGTAAAAAGCCCAAAGAAAAGTAGCCAGTTTCCTGGCTAAAATTCAAAATATCTGGCCTCTTAACAACAAACTCTGTTCCAAAGGCCAAAAAATGTGAAAAGTATATGAGAGTTTTTATCTAACCCCTAAAAGATTTTAGGGTTACTTCTTCAGAGAGGGGAATGTTAGAGTAGCAAAAAGCCCCATAAAAAAACGTATGCATTGCATTCCTTAAAGCATAAGATATAGGAGAGATTAGATCAAACAAGGACATATAAAGTCTTGAATTAATGAAGAATGTTTCTACAGTTTTTATTACACCTCCAGGATGTAAAACAAAGGAAGAAAGGAACTTCCAGTTCTGCTGCTTCAAAGAAGAGTTGCGTGATGCAGTCACTCCGTAACAACCAAGGGAAATTGCCTCTCTCCACTTTGATGTCCTGTCAGAGTTTGTGACCTTCACAGGGCCTTGCTGGGTCACTATGCTCCCTCTTCCTTCTGAACTGCCCTGCTCTTTGGTCACTTGAGCATCTCTGTGAGTCAGATTTTAATGACAAAGAATTGATTTTTTGCCAGATAAAAGATTCTTCGAGATAGTTCTAGTCAAACGGGGGAGGAGGTTTTAGTAGACGTCTGGGAAAAGCCTGAGAAACAACCACTTTTGTTGCAGTTCCAGTTAGTGTCTAGGAACCAAAATCAGGATAACTACTTAGCATTCATTAAGCACCCACTTATGTCACATACATGGTTTTAGACGGCGTGGATTTCACAGGTTGAGCAGCTTAGGAAGGTCCACACAAGCAGGACCAATCCTCTCCTGTCTGGGCCTGGAGGCTTTCACTGAATGCCGAAGTTTGAAGGAAAATCGAAGAAGCACCTAAACAAACCTGGAATGGGGTGATTATTCTCCACACGACAAGGAACAAGACAATATAATTCAACAAATATTTGTTAAATGCCGAAGTTATGTACTAGACACTGAAGGTAGGGTAATGCGCAAGATTTGCACACGCAGGTCCTGCCTGAGAAAGCAGAAGCATTCCATGTGAGAGGTTAACAGAGGAATCCTCATTGTGCCAGTGTCTCCCAAGACTGCACTGGGTGGTTGAGGTGCTTTGGACGTTCAGAATCCTGCAGTATCTGAAGACAATGTTGGTAGGCTAGGAAAAAATCCTGTGTGGATTCTCAGAAAGATGTTTGTGTTTCCATTGACTTGACTGCTCGCATAGGGCAGATGTTTGTGGAATTGCACTGATATGGATTTTGGAATTACGTGTTTTTTCATGGACTGGAATTTTAAAAGAAGGAGAAAACCATATGGATTGGAGCCTAACATCTGTTTTAGACAGATGCTCAAATGTTGTCACCATGTGTCTTTAAGTCCTGTCTTCTGTTTCTCCATGTCAAGCTATGTTGGGGCTGAGGAGATAGCTCAACCTCGTATATGTTTGCATGCAAACTTGAGGACTTGAGTTGGAGTCTGCTGGAGTGTCTGGAAATGCCCATTATCCCGATGTTGCAGAAGCAGAAACTGGAAGATGCCTAGCCAGCCAGTCCAGCTGAATCCAGCTTCATCGAGAGAACTTGTCTCAAAAAATAGGGTGGAAAGCAATCATGGAAGACACATAATGCCAACCTCCAGCCTCCACTTACGTAAGCATGCACCCATGCTAAGCCAACAAAAACAGGCAGAAGGTTGTCTCTTCTCTCACTTATTGGGCTATGGGGAACAGATTCAAAACAACTTGTTTGCATATGTACTAAATATATGTAAACATATAGATGTATATGTTAAGATAATATATTTGTGTACAATATTGTGACTACTCTTTCCAGAATGAAAGCAGCTGTTAAAGTGATTAACAACCAAAAAACTGTAGAAAATGGAGAGTGACAATTTGGAGCCCCATGGGACTATTCTTCTAGCTCTGGGAATCAGATGACTCATTCTTTGTACTGTTTGCCAAAACTGCCGAATGCACAGGATATTGCTGCTCAGGATTCAATGTTGTGATGAATTTAACAAGCGCAGCTTAGAGAATGATGGAGACCTGTTTGCCACTTAAGCTTTGACATCGACTGATGTACAACTTGAGACAGATCACTTCGCTTCTCTGACTAGTTTCCTCATTTCTACAATGAGGAATTTGAACCAGGCTACCCATAAGAACAGCTCTAGAGCAGTAACAGGGCTGGGGAGATGGCTCAGTGGTTAAAGCACTTGCTCCCCAAGAGTGAGAGTTGGAGCTCAGATCCCAGAACCCATGTAAATACCTGGTGGATATGGCAGCCTACCAGTAAGTCTAGTCTGGGAAGCAAAGACAAGAAACTGCAGAGCAATTGGACTCACAAAACTAGGCGTCCACAAGCCCTGTGTTTGGCAGAAGACCTCAGTGAATAAGGCCAAAGAGCAATTGAAGATGATTCCCAGTATCAGCCTTGGGACCGCACATGCACATCCACACAGGTTCATGTCACCCACATGTACCCCCACATACATCACACGTGAAAATGTAAAAATTACCTACCCCCCCCCCAAAATGCCTGGATTCTTTTTTTTTCAAGCCCATGTCTCCCTGTTCATAATACAGACCAGGCACCATGGCCTGGGCTGTGGTATGGATGGGGCAGGTTTGTTCTGCCTCCTCTTTCTGTACAGTCAGTGTGAAAACACAGCCTGTGGTAAGCAGCAGGAGGATTCTTAACTCTTTATATTCTTGACATGTTGTTTTGTCATTAATAGTAAATGCTTTCTCAGACTTCGTGGCATGAAGGGACTTTATGGCATGCTGGGGTATGACCTAAGGTAAGAACACTTTATGATGGTGACTTCTGACTGTTAGGGACTTGCCCCTCAGTCTCTACACTGAAGGAGCAGGAGGCAGGATAAAAACTGATCCCAAAAGCCAGTCTTTAAGAAGCTACCTAAGTGTATTTAAGAACTCCAAAACCGATTCAGAAGGCTGCAAGTGGGATTTTTCTGAGCATTCACTGAGAGAACTTCACTACTGATGAACCACATATCCAGCCCAGTCTTAACTCCGTGTTCATTTGGGACTGAGGGACTTGTAGGAGACCAGGAGTAAGGGGCAGTTTCAGAAACCTAGGAATATATTTGCTTCTTCCAGTCAGAGAGAGGTTAGTGTGAGGTATATCTTATGTGGTGGTGGTGGGGAGGGTAATAATGTACTTCTTAGAATATTCCATGGCTAGAGAAGAGGAAAGGTTTACCCACAAGCCCCTGTTTCACCGTGGCTAAAAACTTGTTCTAATGTACACTGATCCCTGTGTCGTTGGGAGAGGCATATGCAGGCATGATGCGGGTCTCACCACATCCGATACAAGGGAGAACTTTACAGGTACACTGCACCAGCACCAACAGGAAATGGCAAGCTCTCAATTTGCTACACTCCTATGGTAGCAGCTAGACTAAGAGACAGGAGAGGACTAGGGGATCTAAGGCTGTTCTTTAAGTTTCTCACATGTGTCCTTAATTTCCTGGGATCTAAGTAGGGGAAGTGTTCATTTTAATTTGAGGTATGAAGTGGAATGACACTATATAACCTATCCACCAGAGCTCTATGTAACATACCACCGTAGGATCAGAAATATCTGAAGTGTACTACTTAAGTTCTTTACCAAGTATACTCAAGTAAGCCTATGAAAACAGCATAGAAATCTTTGAATGCTTGTGCCAAATCCCTTCCTCATAAAATGATACTGTGTAGTGACTGGGAGGCCCTCATTCATCAAAAAATAAAAATGGATGCATGCCGGTATCCAGACTAAGTCAGGATTACATCTGAAATCACATAGACTGTGAAACTGACATGTAGATAGACATTTTTTCTAGTTTGTCCAGTATTTGAGCCAAAGAGAGTGAACCTATAATTGGTCCTGGTTGATGTGTCCTTTGTGAATATTCTAGATTCCAATGAGAAGATTGTGATAAACTGCTCTGCCATCCACAGTGTGGCTAGCCCCAAAATGCTGTGACCTGTCCTTCCTCTACAGCACCCTGTCCAGGGTTTGTTTCTTTCTGCACAATCACTGCTCAGGGCTGCTCTCATTTCTGGTCTGATGCCTTCTGTTGGCAGTAATAGGCTTCATCACCTGGTATTTTCCTCTCCTCCCCAATGCTGTGTTTACATCATGTAGAATTGAATGCCACATTTGTTAACTGATCCAAAGCCAGGAATGCTTTTGGTTTCCCTGACTTGCATCTCTTGGCTAAGCAAAGTAGCTCCTAAGACAAAACCAAGCACTCTTTCTATTCCTTGTGTAAAACATAAATGATTTTTTAAAAAATTATTCTAAAACTTGAATCATTGGCCTCAATTTTAATAAGCATTAGTTATTACACAGTGGATTTGGTCTCCTTTCAAAGTGGCTTCTTTGCCCTGAAATCCACTTCTTGTTCTTTTTGCTTTGTTTTCCTTTTCTTTTTTCACACATCTAATTCTAGCAGTTTCTGTGACAGGAGGGAACTTTGGGTTTGGTCCATGTTTCACATTTCTGAGATGCTCATGTGCAACTGTCCTCAGAAAGTCTCTGTGCATTCAATGTATCAATTTATCTGTCTCACAATTATCTTCAATTCTGCCATTTATTCAATAAATATGTCAGGAGAGCCTCCCGGGTGACAGTTGCGATGCTCACCTGCAGCTTGTACGTTTTATGGGATTCCTGGCATTCTGAAGCCGAGGAGACCAGAATACTGACCTTAATTAGATGCCACGGAAGGAACTCTTTCCTGTAAAGACAAATCCAGGTTTCAGCATTACAGCTTTATGATTTAATCACCAAAGCACTTACTGGAATAATAACAACACAGAGTATTATCTTATAAAATTATTTTAGAAATTCATTTTTCTCAAGGCCCCAGTTTCTCCACTAAAAAATAACTTTAACTTGTCTACAATACTACAGCTAGGGCCTGAAGAGATGGATTAGCACTTAAGAGGGCATACCGCCATTGTAGAGGACCCAAGTTTGGTTCTCAGTACTCCTGATGAGTGGCTCTCAGCTGCCTGTAACTCCAGCTCCAAAGGCTCCAACCATCTCTTCTGTCCTTCACAGGCACCCACCCACAAGTGGCAAACACACACGTAGACACACATACACATATTAAAAATAAAAAGTAAATCTTTAACATACTGGAGCTAAAACTGGTAGAATACAGAATTGAATCCTTATCTACCTGAGGCCCAATCTAGGTTGTCAATCATCAGTACAGTGTATGCTTCAAGTGTGAGTGTGCACATGTGCACATTTAGTATTCTGTATTTAATTAGTACTGTGAAGTAAAACTTAACTCCATAAAAGAAAAAGAGGTTTCAATGTGCACTTAGTGTGGGGAAGGAATTATTTTGTTTATGCCTGAGCAAAAGGAATTTGAAAAACCTTCTAAGAATTAGAAGTAGAAGAAAATAGTTTGGATATAGTGTAGTTCCAGAAGGAAATAAAGACTTAAGCAGTAACTGGGATATTTTGTCAAAGAGTCTGGTGGGGGTCTGCCCACAGACTTGCCTAAGGCTAAATTGAAAAGCAATGGATTAATTTCTTTGGCGGAGGAAATTTCAAGATATACTAACTTAGAAATGGCAGTGTGGCTTTTAATGGTTTCATTATATGTTGGAAGTATGTAATTTGTCTTTTGATTTTACAGGGGCTTATAGTTAAGAGATTGCCTTGAATCACAGAAGAGACTTTTAACTCTGGACTTTAAAATAATTTTGAGACTGGTAAAGACTATGGGGACTTTTGAAGGTGGACTGAATGCATTTGGCATTTTATGTGGCCATAAGCTTATAGGGGCCAGGGAGTGGAATGTGGTTCTTTGAGGATGTTCCCCCCATAGGCTCCTAGTGTTTGGACATTTTGTTCCCATTTGTTGGCCTTGTTTTGGGAGGCTTCAGGAGGTGTGGCCGTGATGGAGGAAGCTCGTCACTGGGAACAGGATTTGAGAATTCTTAAGCCTTGCTGGACTTCCTGTCTTCTGCCTGCTTGGAGATGTGAGTACTTACTTTCCGTTCCTGCTCCAGTCGTCTCACATGCCTCTCCACCATGATGGACTCTCAACCCTCTAGAACCTGGAACCGTAAGCTCAGATAAACTCTTCTTTCTACAAGTTGTTTTGGTCAGTGTTTTATTACAGTGACAGAAAAGTGACAATACAACAGCTTGCATACTGTCCTCCAGAACTACCAGAGCGAGTCTTCAAGGACGAGGCTTCCAGGTCAGTTTCAGCTCCATCGCAACAAGTCCCATGTGTGAAGTATGTCCTATCTTCAGCAATAGGGTCTTACCTTCAAGTTCTAGGAGGCCATCGAGGACTGTGGCAATAGGCTGTGTTATTTGGGGAGTCTCTTGGACCACCCTGACCGACAACTCTAAGGAGAATATTTCATGCCTGGCACAGCTTCTTGTTACAGAGCCTTCAGGTGTACACATGCACTCATGTTCAGGTATTGTATATGTATTTTTCAGAAGGTTCTTGAGATAACACATTTATCTAAAAAAGACCTTTGGGTTTTTCACACCACTTAAGCTTTATTTATATCTCCTGTCTCCCTGATAACCTCCTTCCTCCCTCCCCAGTTAAGGTAACCCATTTTCTCCCTTTTCACCTTGATAATACCTGTCTCCTGTTATCTCCCCCTCTCTTGAGCTCCTTCTTCCCCTTTACCTCCACGGTTCCTTATATATCCTCCCCTCCTCCCTTCCCAGTTGAATACTCCAATTTTCATACAATGGAGTTCTACTCAGCAGTAAAGAAAGATGACATCAAGAAATCTGCAGGTAAGTGGATGGATCTAGAAGCTGATATAGTAAGTGAAGTAACATACACTCAAAAAGCAAATGACGTATGGTCTCTCTCATTTGTGGATTTTAGCACCAAATCCTTACATGTGAGTATATCTCCAGATGAAACCACAAAAGCCAGAAAAATGGAAAGGAAAGATGGAGGTAAAGGGAAGAAAAGAGCCTAGGATGGAGGGGGGGTAGTACCTGAGAAAGGGGGTAGTACCTGAGACAGAGGTTAGTACCTGAGACACACAGGGGGTAGTACCTGAGAAAGGGGGGTAGTACCTGAGACAGAGGTTAGTACCTGAGACACACAGGGAGGTAGTACCTGAGACAGACAGGGGGTAGTACCTGAGACAGAGAGGGGGTAGTACCTGAGACAGACAGGGGGTAGTACCTGAGACACACAGGGGGTAGTACCTGGGACAGACAGGGGGTAGTACCTGAGACAGATGGGGTAGTACCTGAGACACACAAGGGGGTAGTACCTGAGACAGACAGGGGGTAGTACCTGAGACAGACAGGGGGTAGTACCTGAGAGAGACAGGGGGTAGTACCTGAGACAGATGGGGAGTAGTACCTGAGACAGACAGGGGGTAGTACCTGAGACAGATGGGGAGTAGTTACCTGAGACAGACAGGGGGTAGTACCTGAGACACACAAGGGGGTAGTACCTGAGACAGACAAGGGGGTAGTACCTGAGACAGACAGGGGGTAGTACCTGAGACAGATGGGGTAGTACCTGAGATAGACAGGGGGTAGTACCTGAGACAGATGGGGTAGTACCTGAGACACACAAGGGGGTAGTACCTGAGACAGACAGGGGGTAGTACCTGAGACGGGGGTAGTACCTGAGACAGACAGGGGGTAGTACCTGAGACACACAGGGGGT